CATTATCTAAACTGACAAACATTATCCCTGACAAACTGACAAAAAGTTAATAACCAGCCAAATCCTAAAACCTAAAGGCGGTGGAATTACAAAACAAACAACAGCGGACCACACAACATTTAAAACACTTCTAGGGTTTAAAAGACAATCTTGAGTGTAAGGTGCTACTGGCTAAGACATGTCACGTGAAGGCGCAGGGACGGACGAGAGAACTGAGGGACTGGCACAGTCACAACGGAGCACAACAGGCTAAAAGTTTGTTTCAGGGCACAAGATTAATGTACATATTACACCTCCCTCTCTTTATACCCTATATCTTATCACCAGTTAGAATTATCACCATTGTTACAGTGGCTTAATATCAAATAAAAGTGGTCATCGTTTCAGAAGGCAGTCTGGTCCCACAGGCTGTTGCCTCAGTTCTCCTCCGGAGTCTCTTTGACGTCTGCTGCAGCTGAAAGGTGACAAGAACGAGGGATTTGGTCGAACTTCAAACTTACTAATCGTCTTATGTGCAATCACTTGTTAGTCCATGCATATAATTTTCAATGCATTCAGCAACTGTTTAACACAAATCATTTCAACCTGAGACTGTTGCAGACAACTTCATCCTTTTTTTTTTTACTTTTCTCATTTTTAAAAATAAAACACTTTCTTCAATACCTTTCAGATCACATTAAAAAAAAGGAGTTGACTCTTCAATCTGAGATTGGTAATAAACACCAGATTTATGCCATTATCATTACAAGCTGGAGCTGTTTAGAAGACTGTGTCTTTAGGGGGGTGCTCAAGCTTGTCAGTGCATCATTAAACTGATTTGAAAGTGCTGCATGAATAAGCATTATTACCAACTTGATGAATTCTATGTTAGACTGATTCTCTCATTTAGGGACATTTCAGTCTCACACATTCATCACGTTTTTATAGCATCAAATAATTCATCAAAACCAAACTTAGTTTGATAAGAACTGCCTCAAAGGACAGAAACCATCTTTGATCAAAATTAGACCTGTATATTGACTTTTTAGTTTGGGCCATGCCACTTCCACTAACATGGAGGAGACAGGACTTCTTAGCTCAACTGCATTGAGAAGCTTTGGCTCCACTCTTGTGGAACTGACACGTCGTCTAACTTTCTATACAGTCTATGATATACACCTGTAATGAGACTGCTACCTGAAAAGCTAATTTCTTTATATTAAACTTGATTTGTATAATGAGTGCCTTCCCTTTAAAAACAGTTGTCATGGACCACACAAACCAAATCGAACAGCACACAAATGGTAAGAAAATGATCATGTACTATATAGTTTCTTTATTTTACAAAGATGCCAACTGTGAAATGTCAGATGTGGATATGAGGAGAGATTTCAATATGATGCATGCATCTTTGCCGGTTGATTTTTTTTCTTCTAAAATGCCCAAATTATACTGTATATAACTTGTATGCTCCCCTTTTCGGTCCCCCCCTGTGTGAAACTCAATTATGGATGTGTGTCATGAGGTGAGTCGGAGGTTAAACTGTACATCTTACCCTTGGAGACAATCATGTTCTCCTCCTGCACCTCCTCGTTTACAGGGGCCCTGAAGAGGATATCAACATGTTGTCATGGTAACTAAATCATAGGATGACTTACAAATCCAAATCTTGGTTGACTGACATACCTGGGTTTCTGGTTGATGCTGCAGCGGCACCGCCGACCTGGAGAAATAAGAAATCATTAGCTGTGCCGACCAGGGGTCTAATTAATGAGATATGATGTCTGTCATCTGAGAGCGGCTCAGTGAGGCCTGATCATTATAAAAAAAATAATGAAGTAAAAATAACCGAATGAAAATAATAAGGTGTAGCAGTGGTCTGTGGAAATTCAATAACGATTAAATTCTTTATGATTAATAATTCTGTATTTGATTGTAAAACTGGATGAGACTGAGTGCATGCACACTTAATATGAACACACACACACACAAACACACACACACACACACACACACACACACACACACACAGGTGAACTTACTAAGGATGAGCAGAATGCCCAGTGTGAACAGCACCACTGCTAATGCCAATCCCCCAATCCTGAGACTCTCATAGTCTGCAGAAGAACAGGAGCATAAGAAAAAATTAACAATACACCATCAATGGAAAATACTGAGATTTATGTAAAAGAAGTGGCTATGTCTTGACAGTGGTGTTTTTCAGAATCAATGCTTTCCCTTAACTTACCATAAACAAATGGATTTTCTTCTTTCTCCTTCACATCTGTAAAATATAACAAACATATAGAGCCAAGGTGTGTGGTTCAAAGCACCACTCATTGCTATCTTTCTTCAGTATTACCACTTGGAGGTGCCAAATTTTCCATAAGTTGGCAAATAGAATAAGTTGGCTGATAGAAAAAAGGCTGACTCCCTGTGTTCTTAAGAACTGCTAACTCTCTTCCTTTTGGAAGTTCTTCTTTTACTCTATTTCTTTTTTCTTTTTGGCCTTTCTCCTTCAAGACTGTCTTAAAACAGAACTGATTATTCAACCTCTTTTTTAATCTTATTTTACTCTGCTAGTCTGGTATTTTGATCTTAAGCTGAAACCACACAATTCTTTAATATTTTTTCGTACTTCAATAAGTCTTGCTTCATCTTGGCCAAAGATCACTTGGCAAAAAAACTATTATTCTGGAGTTTGAAATGAAAGACAATTAATCGTGATTTTAAATTCCTGGAGAAGTTGTTTATTGCCATTCTTCTCCAAGTCTGAACCCCATGCTTCATTTCACTAAAGCCAAACTAAGTGATCAGTTATTTTTGTTATTCAAATATCAACTTTATTCATCTACTTATAGACATGTTGTTAAAAATAGATATCCTGTCATCACTAAGGTGTGGTTGATGAAAGCAGAGACAGAGGTCCTTGTATCAAGAGATTACTAAATCTGAATATAAGACTTCACCTGAATTTAAGTCAGTAAAATATACTCCATCGATTGAAGATGGTGCCCATTGTGCAACAAGTGCAAATTTAAAATCAAGAGCAGTATAATACATGCTCCGTGCACACACATTCGTCTCCGTTGTACAAAACAACCACTCTCATCTCTTGAGCACTCAATAACAGTCTCTCTCCAATCAACCCCACAGTTGGTGCGGTAATTCTTCCTCTTAATCCATACATCTGCCCCTGTTCGCTGTAGTGGGGAAATCCATAAGGCTTTGATTGGATCTGGACACCAACACACCCTTGCATGCGACTGCTCTGACTGAGGTGTTAAAGATTACATCGAGGCTACTCACCCTGTGCAGCGGGGTCTGCTACAGCTGAGAGGCAGCGACGAGGGGAGGGGGTCAGAGTCAGGAGGTGAAAGGAAAAAGGAGAAACACAGGAAATCAGACAGGAGGAAAGTGACTCAAACATCATCTCATCTCAGCCCTCTGTCTCTTTGTCTATAATTCTATTTATCAGTGGATGTTTTTCCTAACATGAGACCCAGGTGTCATAAAAACATTTGCAGCGTGGTCCAGTGTATGTGCAGTGTGTGACAGTGTGAGCCTGTTTGTGCGTCTTGCATTCAATCATACAGTGTGAACAGACCTCACACATCCAGGCAGTGACACAGCCGGTCTGTCAAATCCACGCATGGAGCCCTGAAGTAGTAATTGATGTTTTTCCCACTAGCCCATACACAGAGTGGCTTTTCATATCACATCACTGCCTGCCCCTACACTGCCTCTCTTTGGACATACTGTGTGTGTGTGTGTGTGTGTGTGTGTGTACTTGTACCTTTATCTTTGTGAAAACCTGTGTCAGGGTTAGGATTAGAATTAGGTTTGGGTCAGGGTTAGTTGATATGTTTGGTGTTAGTGTGGTGGTTTTGTCAGTGTTGCACTGGTCTTTGGAGGATATTTCATAATGACTGTCCTGTGTAAAAAATCTGGCTAAAAATCATAAGAATGGCGAAGGATAAATTAATGAATGAATGTGCAATAAATGTGTAATAGTATAAGAATATCAAGGTCAAATACGAGAGAGCGGATATTTGAGAGTTAAATAGTGACTGTGGAGGGAGTTAGGGAGATGGGTGGGGGGTGGGGGGTTCCTTTGGTAGTTTGTATGGGCAGGAAGGGGTTGAGTGGGGGAACAGGCCAAGAGAGAAGGGTCAAATGCTCAAGGAGGGGTTATATAACCATGGTTATACAAAATCAAAGGATTTAAATGTATGCTTTATGCAAATGAGTGTCCTCACTAAGGTACAAACATATGTGTGTGTGTGTGCAGCTTGAGAAGAGGGAGGCACTTACCAGCCACACAGACCAGAAGTGATGAGAGGAAGAGCAAAATAGTTTCCATGGCAACTGTTGATATAGAGAAATATAGTGGAAGGATGAGAGAGAATGAAGGAAAAACTGAAGAAAAAAAACAGTGAGTGTGCAGAACTCCACCACATATACAATCCCACGGTTAGGGACAATAACAATGAATGGACACACAACATTTCAGTTCATATTCACCACACAGACTGAGCCAGTAATGGACGTCTGAACAAGGAAATCACATCGCACAGCACATGGCTCTGACCAGACCCCCAGAGAGCGCCTGCAGATATGGCTCATATCTCACATAATGATCCATGTTTAGAGTCTGCATACATGTTCTCTTTCCCTGGCAGAGATTAATCCTGCCTCCCTGTGGACACCACACAACCTTGACCCAAATTTATGGTACGGTTTATGAAGGGTCTTTTCCTCTAGCGCCACCATGAGGAGGACATTTAAGGTTTTAAGTGGAATCCACATGGGATGGATTGCAAGAACATTTAGTGCACACACTCATGTCCTGCTGCAAATCTAATGACATTGCCCTCAGGTTTACTTTGCATTGAGTGAAAATTAAGAAGCGTTGGCTTGGATATTGGGAAAAAAACAAATACATGCAGCATGTTGAAATTGTCTTGGAAGCATCCTGTGCATTCTCACAGGGCCCTGGCATTGCTGTAGTTCAATTAATCGACATGGTTAAAAAGCTTTTAGAAATAACTTCAAACCAACTTAAATGTGCCCAAAAATATCTGATCCTGGGAAATAAAGTTTGGTAAATCAAAACATTTGATTACAGATTTGCAATTTGTTCCACAGAGTGAGCGTCTAAGTAAATTCACTTGATTTAAACTTTACTATGTTTTCCATTTATTCGGTGATTTACTTCTTCTCACTGAGTTGAGCTTGAAACCTTGATTTCATCTGCAATATTCGAAGTCTCACATGTGAAGTTCATACTTCCAGTTTTATTTGTCTTTTTTTTATCCTAAGCCTGTTCAGCACTTTATCAACTGTGATTGTTTTAAAATATGGAATATAAATGAACTTTGACTCGACTCAACTTGAAACGTCCACATCTTCACATTTAGAAAACTCCCACAGCTGTGAAAGGTTTGCTTTCTTTCTCTCTCTCTCTCTGTCTGATATGTCAATAAAATAATTGACACTTACAATGTTGACCTGGCAACAACAAGTCATTAATCAATATTTTGAAGTGATCTAATTCCACATCAAATCATCTGAAGCATCTGGTAATGTACGATCAGTCTTCAGGAGGCAAACAAACTAACAGGGTATGTTGAGAGGAGTGTTTGTGATCAATACAGGTGGGTACAGTGTGTCTCAGGCCTTCAAAAGTACATTCAGGCTTTACCTGTGTTGTTTAAGAGCGCCACCTAGCGTCTGTCTGCCTATGTGCTTTCATTTATTTCCATCTATCCAACAGACATGCTCTCTGACTGACTGGGTCCATTTATCCTTTTAGCTATAGTCTTCAGGATATATGAACTGACTCCATTATAGCCATTAGCAGAGGTACCGACTATAGCATTTCTGCACAGTTGCTATTTGTATGTTCGTTGATCCTCATATATTTGATTTGTGAGCCGAGCCTTCAGACAGACCCGAGCAACACATTGCAACCAAGACACTTCTGACACAAGATGACAACTGCAGAACAGACGGTCCATGGCATCCATTAGATTAATGTACCCTTAAAAAGAAAATCAACCCTGTGTGACTTTGGAGAGCGGAAATGATCTTGTTTAATGAGCTGTTTCATGCAAGAATATTTAACTGGAATTGAACTTGCATTTGTTTGTAAGTTAGCTAGCAGGATTACACAAAAACCTACAAAACAGATGACTATGAAGACTTTTCTTAATATTAATATTGCAAGGCATTTTTAAATATTTATTTTGATTTGTCAGAGAATAAATCATAGATCTTGTTTGTTTTTTTTGTTTTTAATCAGACATGTTTAGGGGACTGATATTATATGTATGTGTATGTATGTGTGCAATTTGGTGAAGACCTAAATAGAAATCTGGATCTGGGGAACTTAAACGTGGTTTCACACAAGGGCTATTGGGGCGTTGGCTGAAGTATGTACTCAACCAAGTGCATTTCTTTCCATATGACTAAAATTCATTTTACATTTATAAATACATTTTCCAGTCAATTGAAAAACCAGGCCCAGCAATGAATAATGATATGTGACATTACAGTCTATGGAGGCATGTCTGTCACTCACATCTGCACATCTCGAAAGACACATCTTTTTTTTCCACATCAGAGGTGACGATTGACAGCTGTTGCCAAACTGTACTTCACTTACTGTATATCCAGTTCAGACAAATGAAGAAACAATGAACCAGCAAGTGAAATACAGGAAGCAGGAAAATTACTAATGTAGGAGTTCTCTTTAAAATCTTAATTTCTTTACAACTTCACTGGCCACTTCCTGTTTTTCAAACACACTGTAATTAGTCTTTAGTTGGAGCAACCAGTCGATAAGTAGGTCATCTCTCTGCAGTCTATCAGACACGATGCTTCATTTAATAAACAGAGATGACCTTTGTTCACATTTCACACAAAATTTTACTGCCTCAGAGTTTCAGGTGTCAATGATTGACTGATTCTCTGCCATTGTAGATTTGACACTGGATGTTTTGCGAGATAATTCCTCTGCAGTTTTTTAAATAGTAAAGCCTTGATTGTGAAATAGAACTGTAAATATACATATTGTGGTTTACACAATCAGTAGTCTCTAAGCTTCATCTCAGCAACCATGTCTGACACCATGTCTGACACAGTCTCCCTTAAACGTTTTCTTTCTTCTCTAAACCATCCTCCTCATCTTTCAATCATCACATTTTGAGTGGAGTGAAAACCTCTACGTGTCAGAGAGGATGTGTGGAAAATAAATAAATATGGCTTGATTGCGAGAAATGCAATTTAACATAGTAGCAAACAAAGAAGGAGCTACAGAATCGAGGTCCTGCCGATACGCATGCTTGACCAATCACGAGTCTGTCTCAGCTGTTAACCATGACGTTTCATGTTGCTTTAGCATCAAATTACTAATTAAAACCAAACTTCCTGGAAATAAATATATCAATTGGACATACATAACTGTCATAATAACTACCTAAAATTGCAGAAACCATCTTCCAGAAAAAATATTTTTGACCTGTACTTAGCCTATACCTATTCTATTGCTGGGTTCATGCCCCATCCGCCAACATGGAGGAGGCAGGATTTATGAACAATACTGCAGCTAGCCACCAGAGGGTGATCAGGTGGCTTTCGCTTCACATTTGGGGAGCTGTCATGTCATCCATCTTTATATGTATACAGAACTCCCCAGATGTGGACAGCTGCTAAGACTTAGAATTACTGTTCTCCACAAGAAACAAACAACGTTCAGTCAGAACTGATATGTTTAAAACTAATAACAGAAAACTTCAGTTGAAATGTTGTTGACCATGCGGCACCTATTTTGCCATTTGCAACATATTCCTAGATGTCCTCTGGCAGCATATGTGGCAGGAGTAATATGGAATGATGCAGGTGGCAGTGGGAGACTAATGGAAGGGCAGAGCGTTGGATGGATGTAGAGAGTTTGACCTTTTGTGTCTCTTCTCTGGTGTAAGACTTGTTAATAGCATAGATATGAGAGTAAGTGTTTGGGGTTAAGTGGCTTGTTGGACGACCTCCACTGATTCTGGAGGGAGCATGAGATAGTCAGGCCAGACTCAAAACACTGAATGTCATTTATACAACACCTATCCCTATTTTTAAGGGCAAGGAAAGCAGAATGTTTGTATTTGCTGACTGTAATTATTGTAACTTTCGTTTTAGAGGGTTTTTCGACTGAGTCCACAGGGTCTGGTTCCTGTCCAAAGGAGAGATGAGCAACGGGAGATGATCAATTACAGATTGACTGGTTTGGGAGCTGCAGTGGCTCCGATTTCAAGATTGTGCATGCAGCGTATGGTGATCGTGGCCCTAACAAAACTTGAGCTTCACTGCCCTCCCTCCTGGACATTTACTACACCCACCCTCGGTTCACAAAGCAACCAGCATTACGAGCGACCCAACCGTCAGTGTCCTGGTATCATGCAGAAGATACCGGAGCCTCCGACCTCAGGCTGTTAGGATGTTGGAGGACTCTTCACTGTGCCACCATAACAAACCTACTCCTCCCCTTCCTCTTCCAACAGCACCAGGCAAACTTTGTATACGAACACTCAGCACAAGCCACTTCATCCATTTCATCAGTTTGCGCATGATGGTCTATACTTATTCTCATTATTGTTTTCTGTTTTGTTGCCTCTGCCAAGGAGGTTACGTTTTTTTTAACCCCTGTCCGTCTGTTTGTTGGATGGTTTGTTCAAGAGCACGATTAAAAACCAACAAATACATTTTCATGAAACCTGGTGGAAGGTGGAGGATTACATTGTTGTGTTAGAATTTTTAACATTGTGAGATAAGGCATTTTCACCATTTACCTAGGGAATATTTGCTGAAAGAGATATTAAACATGTTTAGGGGACAGATTTTTCTGAGTGTGTGCAATTTGATGCAGCTTGATTGAATTTATATTGGGCCTGGGCAGAGATAATGAAATTCTACTTCCTTACTTTTTTAGAAAATGCCCCTGTTGAAACCAAGCATGTTACTAAAACACCAGTAACAATAAACCAGGGCTCAGTCTTCCAACGAATATTTAATAATTAGATCACAGCAAAGAATCACTTTTGCTCGCATTGCAATATGGATCTCTTTTGGTGGGGGAGTATTTTTATCCGTTAGTGGGTCAGTGTCACATGCTTGTCCCGTGATAATCCTTCAGGGTCTTTGGCAGCATGCCCCTGCCCTCTGTAACGTAACAAGAAGTAAGTCAACACCAGTCTTTCAATTCCTAGGCACATGAGCAGATTCCCCCTCCACCTTACTTCAACTCACACTGTACTATTGTTTGGCAATATCAAGTTCCAGAGCCACACAGACCCCCATTTATCTGAGAGAGGACAGGAGGAGGGAAGACAGGGTGATCTCTTTGGGGAGGACAAGGGAATAGGAGGGAAGGAGGCAATTTTCTGTGACTTGAAGACAAGGAAAGGGCAAAAAGGCAGACAAGTGAGAATGGGGGACAGGCAGACAAGGGGAGACATTGTCTGGCAGGAGAATATACAGTCGAGGGGGGCACGGAGGAGACACCGTCGGAGGGGAGAAGACAGGGGAAGGGCAGTGTGCTGTGTGATGGTGGCATTTACAGTGTAAAATGTGTTAGAGAGAAAGGTCAGAGGATGTGATGAGGCAAATGTGATGAGAAACAGGTAGGCCAAGAAACAACAGAGTCAAAGAAATGAGCCGATAAGCAGAATGCTCAACAGTCTCACCTCTGACATCATATATCATATGTATGTGACTCAGAAAATCAGAAGATCAGTGTGACACAAACTGTTATAACGCAAACAGAAAATCACAGTTTACTAATGAACAATGGGAAAATCTGACAAGGTCATTAAAGAACACTGTATCAAAATTACTGAGTATGCACAAAATCTATTATGTAAGCGATTCTACAGTATAAGCGTGCACCCACCAACCTCTTTAACTGTCAATCGTGTGTTCAGGATCCTGTATATGTACACATACATATAAGACATCATTTTCTCTGGCAGCTTGTGCATGTTTCATAGTCTTATCGCTTGTAAACCCTGAGATACTGCTCCACCTGTCTGCATCCCTGCAGGACGGTGTGTCTGTTTGGTTGGATATTTGTGTTTAATTACCTAATAATGTGTGTGTCCCAACTTTAAATGCAGGGTTGTAAAGGTGAGGTGAGCTATAAGAGCGATCGTGACGTCAATTCTTGACCCAAATGCTTCTACTAATATAAATATCGAAACAAATTAAACACTAAAGTCCTGACATCAATTAAAAAACGCATTTCCTCTTATTCAGCATAAGTAAAACATATAGGGCAGACAAATAGGTCACGCCACAGGTCTCCGCAACCTTTGTGGAAAAAAACAAGTTGGCTACCTATATCTGCCATCGTAATGATGTTAAGTCACCATGGCAACAATGTGCGTCGCTCCATAGTGTCCAGTTATCTCTATGGTAACTGTCTCTTTTTGAAAAATGAAATAGGTGAAGATGACGGGCTCGCACGAGAACACAGGGACACGGATAAACACGGGGGAGAGAAGGGGTGTGGCACCGAGCTTTAACCTCAGATGGAGTCAGAGGGAATTCGTTGTCTTATTTACGATAAATCCCAACACATGCATTAAATAAAAAGAGCTCAGCCGGAGGGGATGGCGCTGGTAAAATCAGTTGTTTGTTTTGCGCACAACAAAGAGCGACCTAAATAACGCACCTCTTTATTGTGATGCCACGGCACTGCCCAGGTGCCGCCGCACACTGCCAGGCTTCAGCCTCACCACACACTATTGGAGCAATACGCTTTAACATATGATGGATGACGTCTGCGCATTCATCCACTTTGTGTGCGTCCCTCCACCTGTGGGTCCTCTGATGAAGGGGGCTGGTGAGCGATCCGGCATCCATCCACCCATCCATCCATCCATCCACGCAAGTGGGAGCAAGTAACCATTTGCAATAAAAGCACTGACATCCCTCACGACACCTAATCAGAGAACCGAACCGGTTGCGCTCGTTTTTACGCATTGATCCATACATTTTTTTGCCGTGCATTTAGTGAAGCTTGGAGTGATCCGAGCCAGCAGACACACCCTGGTGGTATATAAGAGCAGTCATTTAATAACCACACGTGTCGGGAGCGGTGTTCCAGCAAGTTAATGACAGAATATCCAACTGTGCGTAAATATCTGTAACAGCACAAACGTTTGCGTCAAATAATATCATTGAAAATCCCTAATAGCCCTAGGAAATAACTTGTATTCTAATACAATCTGCGTTTGCTTCCCACTAATCACCCACCCTGTGAATCATTTACCCTAAAATATCATTATTAATAACAACAGTGACATATTGGATCACATGATGAATGTGCTCTTGTCAACTTACCTCCTCGTTTCTGCAGCGGACCGTTTGGCCAACAAACTGATATCCACCCACAAACAAATCAATCAGCTTGTCTCACAAGGCTCCAGATATTCTCATCTGTCAATATAGAGTGCGCACTTCTCTCATCTACTTGTCCTGGAAATAAAGATAGAGATATGATGGATAACAGAGTGACTCCTGGAGTGACAGTTCAGTCAGTCAGTGCTAAACCCTCTGTGGCTCTCTTGTTTGCTCCTTCTCTCCTCTTCTCTCTCTCTCTCTCTCACACACCCCAAATAACACTCTCTCTCCTGTGTGTGTGACTCACAGCCAGGCTTTATTCTGTAATAATTCCACACCATAATAAAGATTTTCCTTAATCTTTATTAGTTATTTTATGCTCAGTGTTAAAAACTCATTGATCCCATTCATTAGACAAACATTATTGTTAGACAACGTGGCAACTCTACATAAATTCGATACAGAGAACACCCTCACACACACACACTGACCCACACACACTGACATACAACATAAAAGGAATGTCAATTCGGAAAAAAAAAATATTCACAGTGTGAGTGCCAGCTCATTAAAAGTGGGGTCAAGGGTCACACTGCTTTCTTTCTTTTCAAGTGAATACATAAAGTGTCAGTTTTTATTTTAGTATGGTAAACAACGATTAACATGTAAAAGACAGGAGCTGTGTCCCTGAGGGGGAAGAACACACCTCTACAATCATCAATCATTTTTTTTAGAGCGTATCATTATCAAACGAGTTATAGAGATCACAGTACCGTGGACTGTTTCATAGGCACAGAATACATGACAGAAGGTACAGCCATCCTTAAGTTCCACTGAACACGTACTGTAGGTAAATATATACTGTATGATGTAGACCCTGAGCGACAGAAGGAAAAGAATTAAGACTGGTGTCATTGCATGGATTATGGTGTGAATTGATTGGTCAGGTAGTATACAGGACAGATTTGAGTAAAGAAAATAGAGAAAGATTGATTGAGCTTGTGTTGAGCTTGTGCTTTTTTGCGATGCTACTTCTCCCCGACCCCTTCATCTGTGTGCCTTCTTATCAATTAATTTCCTCCCCGCCAAGGAGGCTAGCTACCTTTTCGCCCCAATCCATTGTTTTGCATTACACTTGTAAGGAAGGGACACAGGCCAAGAAAGAACCCATTACATTTTGCAGAGAAAGGGGTGAAATTCTGGATATTTTTCCCCACTTTGTACAACATTGCGAGGGCATTTGTCTTACAGTTTTTATAAATTATTCAGGGAATAAGTCATTGATCTCGATGCAAAAATAGATTTAGTGGACTGATTTCTATGGGTGCAATTTGCGGCGTTATGATGGAATTTAAGGTGGAGGTGTGCCCTCTTCATGCCCTTTAATTTATCTGTAAGTTAGTCCATCCATCTCCCTGAGACGGCTTCATAGTGCATGGTTCATCGGTGAAGGGGAGGTTATTAGACCACCCGCAGGAGACATAGGGACATCATGGCGCCTCTTGCTGTAGGAGGCAAACCAAGAGTTCAGATGAACAAAACCTGCAACCTATAGTTATCATTATAGTTAATGCTTTATCATTTGGGTGTCAAACAACACTATTTATTCACTGCTACCCCTTTTCCACCAAATTAACTCTTGTTCTGTTCAGGATTCCTGATGGTTCAGTGAACCAGCCCACGTGTCCACCACTTTTGAGTGAAACCATTGTAATGAAAGATGCATTTAATTAATAGAGAGCAATCGGTCGATTATGACACACCCACTGATGTTGTTTCAGTTTGCACAAGAAAACCTATTTCTTCCATTCCAGCAGGGAACTGACCTTTTAGGCTGCCAATCAATTAATCTTTGGTCCAATTGTTTCTAACGGTTGCCAATTATGTGCGTGAACTGTAAAGTGGAACCCGTTTCATGATGGTGGAAAAGGGGTAAGGTTTGCTCCATCCATTCTTACCTGCATCTTGCTATAGATCCAGGGCAGAACACTTCTGACGTTGGTATAAACACCGGGCTTGTTTTTCTCTCCACAGCCAGACCCCCAACTCGTGATCCCTGTCAAGTACCAACGGTCGCCTGACTGACACACCAGAGGTCCACCACTGTCACCCTGGAGAACATGGGTCAGCCTCGGTTAAGGATTTCCTTGGTGTTAAAAGCAAACTGCATCTTCTCACTGTAAACCTGTCGCTTGACAGTCACTGCTCACCTGACAGGAATCCTTGCCTCCGTTCAGGTCACCAGCACAGAGCATGTTTCTACTCACACTGCCTCCATACACCCGGGGGCCGTTACACACTTGTCTATCAATGATGTCCACAGTCACTTCCATCAGATCATTGGAGACCTCGCCTGTATTGGAAAAACACTGTGCTCATTGATGTTTTCGACATGGCTCTAAACTATGTAAAAATAGCAGTTCAAAACAAGTGAAATTTTACACTGAGCATAAAAATATGATTATCTGATAAATGCGAATAGGAAGGTGGTCTCTTTTGAACCACACTGTATATGCACTACCATTGCAACAGTCAGTCGCGTGTTTCCGCTGTCTGTGATTTCCATGATTAATTGTTTCGTTTATACTTCCCCTGTCATTCTGCAGCTTCCCATTGTTGAGGAATTTTTGTATATCCTCACACATTACTGTATATGCCACTATATACTGTATTATGTATATGTAATGTATATTACATTATATCTGTACACCATTAAGAGAAAAGTGCCTGGCTAATTCCACAGATACTCCCGTCTCTCTCTCAGCAGTACACAAGGTCAGGTTAAAGATGAGGGACCAACCAACCGTGCATTGTGGTGTCTACGCTTAGAGACTTTCCTTTTGAGTTTTATGACAATTAAAGGCTACCACAGTTTCTTTTTCATGTTTGGAAAGAGGGGGTGAGGTGAAGGGTGTTCAGCTGCAACATGCAATTTCAACACTAGATATCACAAAATTCTACACACTGTACCTTTAACCATCCAATAGTATGTGAACACCTACATGTTGCATAGAGAGTGACAGCAATTCTAGCCATTCATGGATGTGCTGTTAGAATGGGTGACACAAGTAGAGGAAGATATATGGGGATGCTGGGGGAGACATCTTCAGACTTGGGGGTGACAATTTCTGATGTTACTCTGTTAGCGTTTGTATATTGTTCCACCTTCTGGTCTCCTTGATGCATCAAGTCTGCATAAGAATCTGCTGCATACGACATCAGCTGCTGCCTGAGTTCTCCTTTCACCAGCTTCCAGAAAACCTCCATAAGATCCATCAGACATTACTTTTGTTTTATGTCCATCGTTCTCATTCTCTATCAGCCTCGGTTTATATAGAGGACAGAGGACTGCTCGCCTGTATTTCTTCTGATGACTATCTGCCGAAATGCCCAATAGATATCTGGATTTGTTGTTGTAAGTGTCATTTGTAATCTTGCCTTTAGATCTAAAGACCCATTTGGGTATTAGATCCAGTTTTAAATGCGTTCATTTATCTTTATTGTACCATGTAGTTTTTCGACAATAAGAGATGTTTAAAACATATTTTCACTATTCATTCAGAAAGACACAGACAAAACTAATGTATACATGCACCTTATCATTTCGTCTGTCTCTCTACTACAATGAAAGCTTAGGGGAACCAATTAATTAAACAAACTTGGTGACTCATTAATTAAACTTACCTGAACCTGCTACAGTGGTGCCAAAGCCAGAGGTCCAGCATTTCGTTCCTTGGGAAATTTTCTGGCCAACTGTTGGCAAACAAACTGGTTGAACTTTATCTGGGGAAAAAAAACAACAATTAGAATTTAACTTCTGCAAACATACTGGATAACATGTAAACTGAAATTGATGGCACTTCAGACAAAGACGTGTCAGCGGCAGATGAACTGTTTTATTAACACTGACGCTTGAACCCAGTGAATGAAGTGAATTTGTGACTTACCGTCGAAATGAACTGGAGATTTAAGTTTGATCAGAGCAACATCTAAGTCATTAGTCTTGTTGTTGTAGTTCTCGTTGAGCAGGATCCTCTTCACCAGATAAGGCTTAGGCAGACTTTTCAGAGACACCGCTCCAGCATACACTTTCCAGTTCTCCGCTACGAGAGTCAAAGAGTTGCCTCTGCAACACAGAAAGAGAGTGTTTACTGGAAAGCGAATGGTTCATAATGATTTGGGCATAGCACTTACATTTTCAACATTTCAATTTTTGCATTTGAACATTGAAATTCAGCAATTTAGACTGCAGCTGAATAAAAACAATAATATATGAATTCTGCAAGAGTAAACAAGATTGTTCCAAAACAACAAGAATCCCACAAGGTGGAAAAGATGGCTGGGGCACATGTTCTGTGTCACTCACCTCGGGAAGCAGTGGGCAGCGGTCAGCAAAAAATCAGGGGAGATCAGGACTGCGCCGCAGACGTGGGATTGTCTGAAGTGGAGCGACAACTGCCAAGGCCACTGACCTGTCTTGGCTAAACTGCCCCCAATGATCCGGGATGTAGACTGCTGCTTACCACAGTCTGGGGAAGACAGACAGCTCATGATACTGTACCATAGCACAGAAAGACACGAAACATCCTTGAATTCTGCACTTCAAATCTATGTTTCTGAGCCATTTGAATTCAAAGATTATTTCCTGGCACTGAATAAAATCCAAACAACAGATCAGATACTACATTAAAAGGATTCAGCAAAACTCATGTTTTGTTGTTATTGTGCTTAATGACTGGAGGTACATGTCATTGGCACTGTGCGTGTGTGAGAGACAAAGAGGCAGAGAGAACTCAAGTGTAAATGTGTGTGACACATGACTGTATAAGAACAGATGGAGGCTCCTTACCCACACACTGAAGGGAAACAATGTCCTGGTTTGGACAGGAAGAACTATGAAATGACACAAGGGGAAAAACATGTTAATTTACATGAGCACATACAGCAGACTATGGATTTACAAGCAGTTTATCATTATTCTTTTACCTATATCTCACATTTGATATATATTTGGCATCATGACATTGAATTTATAATAAATTGAGAATGGAAGGATCATAGATTACATGTGAGCTGTGTATGAAACAGGGGAGGTTTGATACCTGACTTTCACCAGACTCTGGATAGGCAATGGTGCTCTTTGGGTCAATTCTAAACCAATAGACTCCTGAGATTTGATTGCTTTGGTGACAAAGTGCCTGAAGAGAGAGACAAGGGTAATTCAACAAAGCATTAGTAATACATTTGCACATATCGATACCATTTTGTTGCAGCAATGCCTGATTGGACTTGGAAACTAATTGTGGTTCTGTCACACTGAGAAACCCCAGAGAGACCTGAAGAGAATCAATTCAGCTCTAAACTCAGAGCAGCAGGTGGCGGAGAAATTAGATGGATCTCAGTGGATAAATCACCGGTTGGAGATAGAAACCTACATCTCTGCTGAAACTGAGTCTGGCAAAATGAGGAGCGAAATCCCTCCTTCATGGCGCCTGAGCCAGCTCTGGCTGATGGTGGGGAATGGTAATAAATGTTTTGATGCTGGACAGCTGATCCAAAATGGTTCTCAGCATTTAATGTAACTTCTATCTTTCATCTTATGGCTGGTTTTTTGCTCATTTAAAACTTAGAGAGGAATGGTGATCCCTTACTTTCTGAAACCTAGCTGACCACAGGTCTGTTGAGCGTAGCTGCTGTCCCAACCACTGAAGCACACTGGTAGGAAGCGGCCATCTTCAGATGTCTTGACCTGCAGAACGTTTTCCTCACCAAATCTCACTGGTGAAAGACGAGACAAGAGACAAAACACAGAAAACCACTTAGATGGCGCCTCCTCAGAGGCTAACACAATGTGATTGCAATACGGAATTGTTCTCTGTGCTGCTTCTCCGGCAACTGCAACTGCAGTGCAAGTGAAAATGTGCAATAAATGAAAACTTCACTTTACAAATACAGGCATACTGTTGAAAGCAGTTTCTTTCTTGTTTCATACTTCATACTGAAATGTAAAGTGTTCACAAAATCGAATTATGCGGTCTAGTAGAATGCAATAGATTATTACCCCCAATATCAATTATATGTTTGAGAACTAAATGAAGATCAATCAGCCTGTTTATTATTTTAAGGACATTTTTTACACATTCTTGTCTAGACTGTCGAGTGTCTTCCCATCCTTGGTCACCATTTATCCTTAGTCTGGTTCTGATTAGGTCTATTGTTTATCCATACTCACCACACTTTGTTTCGTCGCTACCCAGCTTACAGTCTTTCTTTCCATCACAATTGACAGTATTGTTGGGGCAGGTGTCATACTTGGGTAAAGATGCATCTTCGTAATAATCGTCTTTATCGTACAGGATCGCCGCTGTCGCCAGCCTGGTGCCGTAACGGACTGTTTGGGTAGAATGATTAGATGTAATGAGTCTGGGTAGGATCGGTAGATTTACAGTGTGTAATACTGAAGCTTGACATGAATCAAATCAAACAGGAGTGAATTCCCCTAAACATAAGCAACAACCGAAAAGAAAAAGAAGAATGCTAAAAGAGCTCAATGGAAATGAGGAAAGCACAACACCGTTATTATTAATCTATTATTATTGTGAAAAATGTAAATATTCCTTTTATACAGTATGTGTTTGTAGGTACGCTTTGTGTTGTTTAGGAATCACAAGGGCAGAGGCAACATATACAGTATTTTGCAGTTTCAAGAAACCTGAATAAATTGAAGCAGTGAATGAATTTTAATGACAATGTCAAGTAATCAGCATAAATAAAAACAATATACCTCCAAGCCAGATGGCCAGGGCCAGCAGAGCGAGGACCAGGAAAACTCCCCCTGACCCTCCGTAACACTGGGCATTATTCTCACAGCATCTCTTCCTCTTATGGCTGGGGGCTGGACACACACACACACACACACACACACACACACACACACACACACACACACACACAGACACACACACAGAGTGATGCACACATTTGTTTTTCTCACACACCTGCATCATTCGTATTCTCAGAAAAATGATGAAGCTGTGGTTATCACTCACGTATACCTGAGTGTGTGACTTGTGGAACAATCACAGTTGGCGTGTACTGGGGGATGTAATGTGGCTGGGTGGGGGGTGTCAGGCCTGGGCCCACCCCATATACTACCTCATCGTAGGGCTTGAGGGGGGGCAACGTGTGCACAGTAATTGGGTAGTAAGGAGGAGGGGGTTCGTTCTGTGAGATAAAGAGAGAAAGGACGATTATCATATAGATAAAATCATTTCAATATCACACAATATGATCTGAAGTCTTGGTCCATTGGAAATAAGACACTACATGACATGTAATAAAAAAGAAACCGGTGACTAGGCAGACAATGGACGAAGAAGCAAATAACTGTGTGTTTTTGGTTGCCAAGACTGTGAAAGTAGCCCATTGTCCTCCATGCACACTAGTATCAAGTCTGTGTTAAAGTCCACACCTGGGTAACAGCCTCACACACAAAGACATAAATGGTGTTTCCTGGCAACTGTGATTAAAATATCTGGCCTTTTTCATTCTCCGCTCCCAGTACCCATATCAAGTATTTCAGACAAAGGAATTAATCAGTGTTTGAATTTGGGACAGGTAGCTTAACATCTGCTTAACAGGGGAGATGGAAGGCGACTAAAACTATATATGATTGTAAACAGTCTCCAAAGTGATTTTACCCAATGGCCTTAAGCTCTATAACAAGTTCTCTGTGAATGATAAGGAGGCAAACAGGTTAGTCAGACTATTCCTGGTAAAATAATTGCCTTGAATACCACTGATTCCTTTCGTCTCTGTGTATCTTTCTACCATAATGACTCAACATTTATTCTGCATTGTTTCACTATCAAAACCACCTTCTCTTCCTGCTTCTCTGAATACAGATGCACTGTAAACAAGGATGTTATGACAGAGAACACACTTACAGTAAAGGTAGCTTCCGGTGTTCTTACTGATAATAAAACAAATTTTATTTCGTGCTGAGTTAGGGAAAGAAAGATTGGAGCTGCTCTCATGTCTTTGTTCAAGTGTTCATTTTTTTTCAGTAAGCTTGCTTTTAATTAGTTATTTGATGCTATGGAATCCTGTAGAAACGTCGTGGTTGACAGCTGTGGACAGAGGTCACTGTTGCACACAGCTAGGCCAGCTGTTTCCCCTTATTCCAGTTATTATGCAAAGCTCAAGCTAACAAGCTGCAAGCACTAACTTTGTATTTAACACTGACATGAGAGTGATGTTCTTCTCATCTTGTTCTTAGTGAAGAAAGTGAATAAGCATATTTCTGCACTATTTCATTAATTTTCAGTAAAACTCAGTGAATACATTTGTGCAGGGTTATTAAATGTACTAATTATATTGCTGTGTTTGTGGCACACTGAATGCAATGACTCAAAACTTCCTGAAAGCTTTTTGTAATGTGACTAAACTTGTTTGTGCACAGTGCTGCCTTATCATATGCCTAGTCACCTAAACAAATACAGAAATGTGAAGTCCTTTCTCTTCGGTTATTTTTATGAATAAAAAGCTTTTACAAACGTTAAACATGCTTGCTTGGAATTTTAAAATTCATATGGACACTTAAAGGAGGGGGGGTCCTTTGTCAGCAAAATAATGAAAAGGAATAAATCAAGGTCACGCTGAGGGGCTGTAGGTGGACCCATTACAAAAGGTGTTTCATAAGACCATTTCTATTGCATGCTGATCAGGTTTCAACACTCACCTATAGGCAGTATACACCTCACTTAATTGAAGTAAAATGGCCAAGTTGAAATAGGTGGTGAAGAAGGTTCATCATATTTCCCACTAGAGCACAATTGGATCATATTGCAGTTTGCCCACCAGCCATTATAGTGGAAAAGATCAGGGCCTCACATGACATTTAAAATTCATTGTTTCACTCTAACAATAACTATGATAATACAGCATTACAAAGCTACCCGACATGAAGGTGGTGTCCCTGTATGTTTACTGATTTGTCTATAGTGATGAAAAGAAATCAAAGCAGGAGACTGCTTTGCCTTTGAGAACATACTGTGATTTGAGCCTGACGGCAACCAAAACAGTAATCTGACATATTCCTGTTTTGGTAACATACAGGAAGTCCAGTGGATACTCACATACATAACCCAATCTGTACAACACACAGCACCGTTTGTCCTTAGACTCTAGTTTTGGATAAGAAAACAACATCGTTCCAAGAAAATTCCCTCACCTCTAAAGTTAAATAAACCATTTAAAACTCACATTACCTGAATAACACAATGACAAGAAGCTGAAAACAGATTTGTTTGAATTCCGTTAGGCGTTAGGTAAATTAAGTGTTACAATCTGAAGAGCTACAAGCAAGTTTTATAGGATTTCCCAATAGAAACTAAAGACAACAGTATGTGAAGGCCAAGGCTACATTCAAATTCCCTTCTAATTTGAATTGCAGCCTATAACAGCCACACACTGCAACTCAAACAGACTAGATCAGAACCAAAGTCTGAGTGAAAGGAGAGTATTGATTAAGAAGGAAGCTTAATTGTTAATTAAAAGGAAACACAAACTGGTGAGAGGAAGAAGGGTTTTTTTGTTTGAAGAGACAGAGAAAGAAAACGGAAGAACCTACCGGGTCACGCTTTGCCATCGGACTCAGGGACACAGAAGAGTGGAGAGTTGGTGGTGACAACAGGTGAATACTTTTTCACATCCAGGCGTTTTGTCACGGAGCAGTGGTTAGACCATGGCAACAACACATTAAAAACACTTGGATTCTTCTCCCTCTATTCTTCTTCTGTCCTTTCTACCTGTGTTTGTCGCTGACCTTCATCTACGCCACTGGTAGGCCTGCCTTCCCCCCTAACACCTCCCCCTTCTTGCCTCCATCATTCTCTCAACTCTTCATTCTTTTCATCACAGAGACGGGTGTGTCCTGTGCACCAGTTTCCCACCTGCCAGACCTGTTTGGTGGCAGCCGGAGACTGTCAGCACTAGTTTCACAGCATGAAGCTCCATTACATCTCATATGACACCAGCTGAGGGGGCCTGGACCAAAAATGGCCTTAACTTTACAGCAAATGACAGAAACTTGTTTTAAAATGCTTATATTGATTGATTTCATAATATAAGGAAATGTTCCATTATTTCAGTTTAAACCAGGATGTCTCATCTGTAAACCCTGCAACTCAATATGCTTGTTGAATTGAAATGCCGGGGGAATAACACGGCTCTGTTATTGAAACCTTGAAATAAAGCAATCCTCAAATAGATGGTTCTGTTTTAGTGCCCTTTTCCCTGCTGTCTGGCAAACAAATAAAACCTCTCATGGCTATAATCTCTGAGCTGAACAGCACTTGCCAGCCTTCTGGAGGGCACATAGATTTACAGATAAAACAATACACTGAAACTCAAACAGAACAAGCAGAAACTGGGTATAAAAGATGAAGATAGGTGGCAATGATTGATTTTTTTTGACCCCTCTGTGAATTTCTTGCTCGTCTTACAATGGCAACCTCCAGCACAGGTGTAGTTTTGGGAACTTTTTGAGCTTAATAATTGCATCTGTTTGTCAAGATACCACATTTGCAATGTCTTGTGTATATATAATATACTCAAGAAACGATAATATAATAATGTTACTATATAAATAAGGCACTCTGGTGGCCTCATGGTCTACGATGCATACTACATAATCACATTGTCCCAGAATTGAGACTGAGAACCTTTGTTTCATGTCCTCCCCCACTCATTCCCCATGTTTGGATGATTTGTCACAACTCTGTACTAGAACATGAATAAAGGTCAAATGTTTGCATAGTATATGACCAGAATTTGTTAGGGCAGATAGAGCACATCAACACATAATATCAGAGCTGAATATCTGACTGCTGCACAACAGGTCTTTATTGAAATTACTGGTGTTAAACTATAAAACTTTATGAGGGTCTATCTAAATGTTTCCATTACTGAGATACTGCACCATGTATTTAGATTATGAGATGAAAAGCTACTCTCCGTGAGTGGACCTTCTTACACCACTAGAGGGGGATGTTATGTAGTCTTCATCATATACTGTACATGCATCTTGTCACTACAGGGAACTCCCCATGAACCAAATGACTCAAGTGGAAAAATCCCTCTGAATAGAAACAAGCAGCGGAGCTGCCACATTTCACATTCACAGTTCCCTGTTTATCTGTGAGACAGAAACCAAAAGATGACAGTAAAAAAACATCTTTTCATTTGGCAGGAACAAAAACTCTAAAGTCACATGAGAAGAAGTGTGAAACAAAAGGGGGAATTAAGATGACATATTTGGCAGCTATAAAAGAGAAAGTGCTTTCTCAGAATTGAAATCATGTTCTTAAAGGTCCAGTGTGTAAGATTCAGGTGAAAGGTAACTATTGGCAGAAATTTAATGTAGAATAATCCTCATGATGTTTTCACTAGTTTGTTTCATCTTAATTGTATGAATTGTAGTTTTCTTTACCCCAGAAAAGGCCCTTTATATTCAAATACTTTATATTTACCTCTCTATGGAGGCCGCCATGTTTTTTACATTAGTCCAGACTGGACAAACTAAACACCTTTTGAGTTTTTATGACAACTGAAGCTACCACAGGTTCTTTTTAATGTTTGGAAGGAGAGAGTGAGGTGAGGGTGCAACAAGCAAATTCAACACTAGATATCACAAAGTTCTCCACACTGTACCTTTAAAATTAAAGTTGTCATTAATGTGTTGTAGTTTAATTAAAAGTACCTCAAAAACACATATTGATATTCCTTCCAAAGCTAAACAGATACATTTTACTTGTGAAGTCAACATATATGTGTATAACAACATGAAGGTACATTTACAGCCCACACATGTGATGGTGTATATGTGTGGGCTGTCATTGGGGTTAATTATACAGATTAAGTTAACATGATAACAACAGTGATTGTTCTTTTCATGATGAAACAAATGTCACATGAAGGAGGTGAACATTGCAATTAGTAATAAGAAAAGTTCCGGGGAAAAAAACAAAGGCATAACTGAAGAGACTGATTCAATGACTTGCCCTTTAGTTTAAACCAACCAAGCATAGGGCCCATATCCCTCTAATCCTTGCCTCTCTTCATTGACCACCAGTTCAATTGAGGATGATTTTAAGATTCTTTCAATGGCAATCCAGCAGACGCAAAAGGGAAAATCCAGATGTGTGTTTGAGTGTTTTTGGCCTTGTTTAATACTGTGCACATAATTTTATCTGAGCTACATAATTTCTTATAGATAGAATTACTCTGGAAAAATGATTAATAATTAACTAATTGGTTAGTCATATCTTGCATAACCACCATAAATTATTTCAAAATCATTTTCTTCAAAAACCTGTGGAAAGGTGATATATTGTGAGTAAGATGAGGTGATGGAGATGAGAGTAAGCACTGACTGGGGTTACCCTTAGAGACAGATATTCCCATCAACTGACACACTTTGGAAAAGTTCATGCTGGGTCAATGTCACTTCAATTAACATAAGTTTCTAAACTCATGAGTTATTTTGAAACGCTACTAACATTACAATTCTGTTGGACTCATAAAGCATGGGGTCATGATCACAGTAAAAGTCATTGATGTGTATAAACTTATAACTTACTAACAAATAATTTTTCAACAATGGTTTTCATTATTGGCAGTTCATTGTAGGGTTAAAAAACCCAACTATTTGTTCAGATTACCACTATACGCATTTTTTATTTTCCCTCGTCTTCTCGCAGCCACCTCAACCACTGCTCTTTGCAAAAACCCCGCTATCATGCAGTCAACCACAACTGAGGTTTTAAACACAGACTCACAGGAAAACATAGACACAGGTCAGAATGCCTCTCCTATCCATCTCATGTCTACAAATTAAAAAACAAAAGGGGATCATTAATTCATTTTCCTTTCTACTGTGTTTTTTATGACAGCCCCGAATTGCAGTTCACTTAACATCATGCACTTGTGAGGATGTAGAAAGAGGAAGGAGGTCTGATGAGAGAGGTTAGAGAGTGACGGAGCTTGTAGCAATGTCACAGCAGGAAACGTGTCACCCGCTGTCATCTGAGAGGGGGTGGCGTTAAGCAGGAAAGGAATTAGTTATTTGGGGAGAACCAAGTAGATCAAGCCATTCTAGTCAATCTTCCTCGTCTTATTTCTTCCAAAGACATCACAGGGTCCGTATCAACTGCTGCCTCCTCTCTGTCTACATTTGACTCATCAGTGCTTATCTGAACCATTACCGGAGTCATTGAGGAGAAGATGTTTCTACGGTCTAATTTGCCTCAGTGATGAGAAGAGGGGATTTTATTGCGGACCACCATTTGGATTAAAATTGAATGATGACACCAAAAATGAAAATGAGCTGCAAGTCACCAATTCTTCTTTTCCTTGTCATCTGCATAAACTCTCTGTCAGGTAATTAACAACACTGCATCTTTTTCAAATTATTTTATTCGACAAATTAAACCCTTTTTTAATTGTATGTTTTCCTGACATTAATTTTCATTTATCACTATAGAACTGTTACAAGTTTTTATGTGAAACACTGTGGGTAAAAACATTTTTTCGTTACTGTTCCACTCTGGGTAAAGAGTGGAAATTAACAAAACTTTTTTCCCCTTTGCAATACACCCACAGTGACACAGTAATCAGAAATCCCGAAAACGGTTTACAAGATCACCATGTTTTTTCATAACCCATACTTCCTTTTTTCCACTAGACCACATCCCTTGCAAAGCATTTAAATAAAAATAAACGTTTCAGAATGTGTAGAAAATAGTCTTTGGTTCTGTAGAAAAGTGTAAAATTAAAGCAACTTAACTTGACTTCATTTGGAGAAATGGAAATGATTAATAGATGTAAATCATGATTCCTCTATTTTTTGTCTGTGGCAGGACTGGATGTCCCTAAGCCTGATAAACTGGTGGTGAAAATTTTGGATGGGGAGGTACTAATATATTGGCAACGTCCTGATGATGCCCCCTCAAACTCCAAGTACAATGTACAGATGGGAAGGTAAGTTTAACTTCAATATCAGTAATAACAGCTTTACTCAAGATTTACCATGTCCCGTTCACCGACTTCCTGTTATTTAGCAATTCAAACTTCCCTGTGTTTTCTGTTTTCTTTCTGTACCACTGATCTAAATAAGTTTTCCTCTCAACCTCGGCCAGCTATAAAAGATTTCTCAGGAGAATTAATTAATGTAGTTTCTGAGTTTTATTTAATGCTACACTATATTTTGCCTTGTGTTACCCGATGCCTCTACTCCTTCCAGTTGGTTATTGTTGTGTTTTCTACCCACAGGTTGAATGGTGAGTGGACCAAGGTGAAAAGATGTACTGGGATCACAAACCCATACTGTGACCTGAGCAGCCTTATACACGAATATGACACAGTGTACAAGGCCAGAGTTCAGCTGGTCGCAGGAGACAACACGTCTCTGTGGACAGTCACCAAAGTTCGCCTATATGAAAGTAAGCACGGTTGTCACTTTAATAGGAGTGGTCAGAGTGGTTTTGTTTAAATTTTGTATATTGGCTGGTCACACTACAAAGTTATTTTCTTACCTTTCCTTCCTCTGTTCCTACAGGTGAATTGCAGCCTCCCTCCTTCACTTTGTTGGCTACTTCCAGAACTCTGTCAGTTAATGTTCATCATAGGCCCGTTCTGAGAAAGATCTTTTATTATGGGCTCACCTACACCATCTACATGGAGGAGACAGGCCAAAATAAGGTGGGCGTTAAGAAAGGTTTCAAGGCACGATATGTGAAATACAGAAATACAGCAGCAACTCTTTCCAACAACCCTGTCACCAAAAAGTCAATAAACAAGATTGGGATTAATTGAAACAATTGAGAAGTTAAACTCAGTTTGAATCTGATTAAAGGTATGATTTAAAAATCTTGGTCAGGTCACTGATCCAATAAAACACTTTAACACTATTTTGATATTTAATGTTATTCTAATCTTCCTGAATCAACATCTCAGTTGTACTCCTCTCAGGATTTACTGCACAGTGTTTGACCTGCATATTTTGATTTCTACCCTGCAGACTACCACAGCATATCTGAAGTATGATGATGGGGTGGATCAGAGGACTAAGACTTTCAGTTCTCTCCACTGGGGAAGAAAGTACTGTGTCAGCATAAAGGTACAGGGTAACGGAGGCCGCTCTGCGAGTGCTGTGTCTCCTAAACAGTGCCTGCAGCTCCCGGACAAAGGTAAGAAACAAATTACAGTGATTACACACAACATGAGTCTTCTGTTGTTCTGAAGAAATCCACAGTCATACATGCTAAAATAGTCTTTTATGCTTCTTCCAGAGTGGTTCATAATTGCTGTATCATCCCTGTCTATTCTGGGTGTGCTGGTATTCTTCGCAATCATTGCAACCATCGTCCTGTGTTACCTAAAACAGCCTGCGAAAACACCTGTTGCATTGGTAAGTGGATAAAATTACAGAGAAATTGTACATGTAAGTCAACTATGAAGATAGATCTCAAATCTCAAAGACCACCCTGCATGACACTCTTCATTAAAGCTTCATGACATGGTTCATATAGGTCACAGCTAAATCTGATGATGGAAGTGACAATAGAACAATGACTAATACTAAATCCTTCATCTTCTCTTGCCCAGAAATGCCCTACACATTACTGGCTTCCCCTCACAGTTGAAGAGGGAACTATGGAGGTTGTCACAGACAAAGGATGGTTCCTATCCAGTTATGGAACAGAAGCGAAAAACAGCATTAATCACCCAGTGACCCATTTTATAACAGAGGACAATGGAGAAGAGGACAGGAGGACACACATGGAGTCAAACTCTGCCACAAACAACAGAGAATGTCCGAGACAAGATGACAGTGGCTGCGGCAGCTTGGGAGGATCAGAGAGCTCCACCGGCGGTCAGACAGATTACTCCCTGCAGGATGAGAGGCCTGATGCTGACAAAGTTCGTAAAAGGGCGGATAGTGGAGTGGGGCTGGGCTGCCAGCTGGACATCAGTCCCCTAAAGGAGTCCGTCCCTGTGGGTAGCTACCGCACACAGAGCCCCTCTGTTGTGCATACATGTGTTAGTGATGATGATGAGGCGTTTAAACAGATGCTTCCAGTTACAGTTTTGGCCGAAGTGGTCACAGGTTACAGAGCTGGTCCTCAGGTGTGTATCTGTTCGGGAGCAGGACAGTGCAGTTGGTGCCATAAACAGGGTACTAACGGAACTGAAGTCATCAAACAATACAGACCAACCTGTATAGAAAATGTGCCACTGAGCAGCAATCATGATTTTGTGGACTCTTACAAAGCAGGGCTTACATTTTCAAGTAATTATAAAAAATCGCAAACGGACATAGTCATGATGGATGATTTTAAAAACACATTAAAACATGTAGGGGGCACTTTAGCTCTGCTATCGACTCGACGTCCGCTTGTGGAGGGAGAACATGACTTCAATATGAACAACGTGTGTCTCTCCCTCAGTGACGTACTGCTGAAAACTGACTGATACATTGTGGAGCAACACTATTTATAAAACAACATATCATGGACCTTAACACTCCCTTGCACAGACATAACACACTCTTTGAATCATGAAATGGAAGCATTTGTTAGTTTGGGGGAGTATATTGAAGTATTTTCATGAAGTGTTTGGAGGAAACAGAGCACTTAGGACCTTGTTGCTTTTATAGGAAGGAAATAAGAACCACACAGCTGCAGACTGAAAGCTGTTGGTTTGAGTCTCATGAGCTTATAGAGATGGAGCCTGAACTTCATGCAGTCGTGTCCCATTGGTTATACGCACAGCTGACTAAGAGGCAGCATGCCGGAAGCGAAACTGCCGTGGGGGGTAATGTAGAGGAACAGTTTAACAGTTCTGTGCTTCTGACATTTTGATTATCCATCGCAGCCAACACAAAACCAAGTTTCTGTCACAATCTCACGGTTTTTTGTGAACTGGTTTCAAAGAAAGGGCTGAATAATGAATCAATAATGAGCAGGGGGTTTTTTTACAGATTGTTTTTTATTTTTAAAGACTAAGCAAGTGACTTTCTTTTGACATACTGCAGACCTTTCTTTAAGCTACTCCCATAACTATGTTATTTAAAATGATATTTATTGTGTATTGCTCTGTATATACACGCAATTCTGCTTTTTCTACATGTGATTAAAAGAAAGTCTTTCCTTGAAATGTTGAGTAAGTTTCATCAATCATAAAAAAGGGGGTAAACAAATCACCTGATGTTCATTTTCTGAAACCATGACTCAGGCAAGCACAAAGATGAGAAACATCAAACTTATACCTACTGGGAAAAACAACATTTCATATTTATTAGCAGTTCTTGGGATTCCCATATGCAAATAAGAGAGCAGTGGTTTTAAAGGTTGTAAACTTCCTCTCTCAGCCCTCCATTTGGTTAAACTGCCCTGCATAGATATAAAAAGACCGCAATGTGTTGTTAAGCAAAGCAGATTTAACATAGAGTAAGGCAGTTATTTGACCTATTTCTTCATGTGTAGTATAAAGTGGAGTTAAAGTGAACAATATAGTAAAATCATAGGTTTTAAAGAAACAAATCACTTAGACTGAAAAGTATCACAAACTACAAGTCCACTGATGAGCAAATCATGTTCATCAGTTTATCTCACGTAACACAAAGCTCCCAAGACTTTAATTAGGGGACCTCAACAAGACCTAGTCACAAGATTATTTCCAGACAAAAAGTACTTACTTTAAGTAGATTACTAGAACCATCTGATATGCTGTGAGCCTGGTGCTTCTGAAGCCCTCAATCACAGACGACTAGGGATGAAACTCTATGTTGATCAATGTTGTGGATGATCATCACACAAAGGCTGAATCTTGTTAAAAATCATTTTAATCAATTTCAATAAAAACCGTTCTAAGTTCTCTACTTTTGTCTTTTTTTTGTCATTCTGACTGTTTTTGACTGAAAACAAAAGTTTACCTTTGTTCTCTAAATCGTAGGCGGCTCATATCAGAAAAACAAGGGAAACATGAAACTGAAGTCTTGGCCACAACAGAGCATTAAAAGGTAACAGAGATGTGTGGAGAAAAGTCTTACACGCATTTTACAAGAAAATGAATCTGCCTAGTTGCTGTGGTTAAATTTGTGATATTCTGCCTTCCCCTTGAATGTTTTTCTCATGTGCGGCACAATGTGTGCATTTGTTTTTCTGTAGTGTGTGTGTGTTTTTCAGTTTCTCATGACGAACAGCAAAACTGAAAGATATATTTAAATGTATATTTCCCATTTTGTTTTTAATTCATTTTCTTAATTACATGACATGACACAATAATACAATTTTGCATATACAAAACTACAGCGTGATATACCCTGTTTTCTGTTTCAAGACAAAGAAGTCATTTTTGTTTTCAAGAACAGACTTAAAAGAGACAATGACATGGTTTAAAGGTATCACACTAAACAAGTTAGAAGTATTTAAAAAATAATGTCAGAAATTCCCTGCTCAGGTTAAACAAATGATTTATAAATGAAAAATGAATTATAGCAGCAAAATATTAACACAAACAAAAAACATACATTCTGAAAACAAGACGGCAGTGCATAGGAAAGCTAGAGATAAAGGGTGTGATTTCCATTACGAAGATGGTTGCCAGAATCTGCTCCCAAACGTCTTGATTCGTTATTTCACCCTGCTGCTGATTGAGAAGGGAACAGGATTCTTCAAACCAACCTTGCTGCAGAGGGAAAGATCAAACACAAAGCTCTACCATAAAACAATTACTGTATGAGTAGGGATAGAAAACTTTGTATTTCAAAAGCCTGTGAGCAACAATCCACTTACGTGAGAACTTTTTCTTTCAATGATGGCTCTAAAGAGTAAGAGGAGACAATGAATGTGCATTATAACAATTGTGCGACAGATTCTTCAAATTTGTTGAGTGATGGTGCACAGTATTGCCCATGTTAGCATCCACAACCGTTTAACCTCGGATACAAAGCCATGCAGAGACTTTCAGTTTCATTTGTGCAAATTTTTAAATATTTATCTCTGAGATTTGTGTTTCCAACTTTGGATTTAATACACACACACACACACACACACACACACACACACA